TTTTTCCTCACAAGACTAGTACTTTATGTTAGATAGAGTAGCAATATTATAATCCAACATTGTATTTAGCACAGATCCAGAACTGTGAAATCAGAACATCTTGGTTTCAAATCTCAGCTCTGCTACTTGGTAGTGGTAATAAACATTGGTTAAATGATGTCAGCTGTATTGGTCTGTTTCCTCATCTGTAAAATTGGGCCACTAATCATTGGCAGCTTGATTGGGCCATCATGAAGGGTAGATGAGGTAATATAAGTAATGTGTTTCGTGTAGTGTCTGACGTGTAGAAGGGATAGCTATTATTTTTATTCATTTATTAATAAAGTATGTATTAATCATTCACTATGTGCCAAGCACTTTGTTGGGCATGGAGAATTTGGTATGAACAAAACAGACACTCTACTTTTATGGACTTACTGCCTGTCTAACCTTATTGGAGCAAAGGAACAGTGGGCAGTTTCTGTGATGCTATTTATCAGGCTGGTATTTCTTAATCACCATTCTAATTTGCTTTTTCCTTATGTATCCTTCTAATTACTATGTTAGTGTCTATCCATTGCATTGAAATTCACATAGAATTGTCTGAATTTGGGAAAATATTCTATGGGTTTATAGAGCAGTTAATAGTATTTGAATATCTGACTCATACTGAATGCATTTTGAAAGGTAAGGACCATCCCCTCATGCAATTGACTTTGTGTTGTGTTTCTTTAAAAAACTTTCTAACTTTAGATCAATTTTCCTGGTTGTGGTTCTGTTAGATATGTAATGCATTAAAATTGGAATTTAAGGCTATACAGATTTAACTTGAGGGCATGACTGTTATTATTTTTTTAGTCAAAAGAAGAAACGAGTTATCAGTTCTGATCTTCCCTGAGTAACCTTGGCTTTTAGATAGCCTTTAACAGATACAACCAGAGAGTACTTTAACAGTCAGTCATGCTGTCTTTGGATAATTCAAAATGACAAGCCACCACTTTTCAGTGCTTGGCACAGTCAGAAAATATTCATACCATCTGAATGGCTTCCCCGTGGATTAGATGTGAAAAGGGTTCTATATGAAAGGTCCAAGAATCCAGACTAGTTTTATTTTCAAATGTTAATTCTCATCATTTTTACTATGAATGCTAAGAAACCACAAGGGAGCTATGTGAACCTTTTCACAATTTAATCGACTTAGTCTGGAGGAGCCTTTAGGAAAAGCTGCTAGAATGATAAGAAAAAGAAACTTGGTTGATGAGGCCTGAAATTACAACAGCCATTGATCAAGAGTTACATTGCTTCCCAGCCTTAAGGCTCTCTTTACTAGTAAGAATAGTGAAAATCCCCTCTACTTCCATAGGTCCTTTTTTGGGAATCCAAAATATACTATACCATCTTTCTCTGTTTGGTCATTTTACATGGAGAAAATATGATGCCATTTTCATTTAAAATGGGAAATGGAAATGTTTACCACTGTGATATGTTATCAGTTATAGAACTCAGTTCTCTCACCCTCTTGTTTTTCCTCTTAGTCCTCCCACTGAGTTTTAGGATTAGTTTCAATGCCTCGGTGTCCTCCAGTGAGTCATTCTTTACTCAGTCTTGAGTTTAATATATTTTTATTGTAAAACAGGGTTTTAAAAATTAAACCAATGTTTGCCTTGAAGTTCTTATTTACCAGACCTGATAAGAGAATAAAATATTAAATCATTGTCTCTTTGTGCATATGTCACAAACAATTTATTTCATCTCAAATTTGATTTTAGAATTGCATGCACAAATTTCAACTTAGTTCAAGGATGACGGTAGTAATCAAAGCTTATCTCCACATAATATCATTCTCTGCCCATAAATCAGTGTCAAGAATTGAGATAGAAGGGACTGTGGCAGCCAGAGCTTTGAGTCATGGTTTAGCTGTTTGACCTTTGGAAGTTACTTAAACTCTCTGAGCTTATTTAGCTTTAAATTACAGCCTGCTGGCAGTGTTGTTATATAAGCTGATTTGTTAAAAAAGAAAAAAAAAAAAACAACTAGGAAAACAATAATTCAAATTTATTGGTGTTTATATTTTAAATTTTTAATCTATTTTTTTAAATAAAATATTATAACATGAAGTTGAGAGTGCAATACAATTTAAGTTAATTCAGCTCTTTAAGTGTCTGTACATGGAAAGTTGAAAACTCACCTAGAGGTAAGTTTCACCAGACACTTGTTTCATGACAGGACTTCAGCATGAAGATATTATCCTACATACTTGTACTCGACGTCCTCACAATCTGGGTGGAGAGAGAGAAGTAAGCTGACACTTAGGATGAGGAGTGCTGTAGTTAAGGAATGGAAGGTGGGTGGGGGTCGGAGAACACTTCCCTGAGGAGGAAGGCTTGAACTGAATCTTGAAGGAGAAAGTGAATACAAGTTTTTCAGGCAGAGAGCTGGGATGGGATATTTTAGGCAAAGAGAGCAGTGGGAATAAGGAAGACTGGAAACCGGAAGCAACTTGGCAGGACTAAAAAGGGGGTGTTGTCTGGAGATAGCGTCTAGATCATGACAGGTCTTACGTGTTATGCTACAAGATTTGGATCTTATTTTGATTTTATTTTGGGAAGCACTTGAACGATTTTGAGCCAACAGATGTCATAATCAAATGTGTAACTTAGAAAAAGTTACTAAACCAGTTTTCTCTGTTATATTTCAATCTGGTTCTTTCTAGTCATCCATTGAAAATCAACTTCCATATCAGAGGAAACAATTATCTTGTTTAACCTAAGACTGTCATCACATGGGGTGTTAGGCATTTGTAATATTTAAGATCTTTGTTGAAAGCTATGAAAATTGCCACCCAAATCTTTAAATTTTGGTAGCTCACAGCAGTGAGATACAAAGTTCATCACATTTGACAATATCATTTCTTTATTATAGCTGAGGCCAGGAAGAAAAATTTTGCTTTTGGGCATCATCCAACATCCTGAGCCTTTTAACACACTTGGCATAAGGATGTCACAGACATTTCTTCCAAGGTACAATTCTTACATGATAATGATCTGTCATCATAAGTGTATTGTGTTTGACAGTGAACAGTAAGAAACCACTGGTTGATGTCTTTTATATTACACATTACACAATTTCTTTCTACAGCCTGGTTTATAGAAGCAAGATCATTTTGCTAAGCATAACCTTATCAAGACCTCCTGGTTCTGAGTTCCTCACCCCTTTTCAGACAGGCAACACAGTTGTCTGCACTCATTGCCTATCCTCCAGCCTCATTTCTGGCTAGAAGCAGAAAACACAGTAAGAGTCCCTGCCTCTGAGTCTGAATGAATGTCTTACTAGTGGTTTTCATATGTGCAACATGGGTGCTTTCTGTGTTTCTGGCTTCAGTTTCTAACTTGTTTAGGAATCTATCACAGTCTGCCTTTGTTTCCCATCCAGGTCAGGGGCAGTGTACATTTTTTTTTTTTTTTTTTTTTTTTTTTTTTGGTGAGCCAACTTCCATCCCAAGAAGCTGTATTTGTCCTTGTCCTTTAGAGTCTTCAAGCTTTTCAGATCTGCCTACACGCCTGACTCACCTTTTTTGGTCCCAGTTTTCAAAACACAAATAAATAAAAGCAACACAAAAATGTAGCCTAACAATGTTTGGATTAAATCCAATTTAATAATAGAAAAAGCTAAGAGATATATCATAATGGGAAAAAATGTGTGGCTTGGAGTCAGACATACTACCATCTATTAACATGGATCTACCAAACATCCGAGCTACCGCACTGAGTGCCTTATACACATCACCACAGCAGCCTTACCACAAAGGTTTCCATATAGGAACTGGGCCTTTGAGGGCTTATAAACACACCCAAGATACAGAGCTGCTAAGGGGTGGGTTCTAGAATTGAACTCCAGATCTGTCTTTCTGCCTGGGTGCTCTTTTCACCCTGCGACACTCTCTCTCAACAGTGAATCTTCAGATAAAGTGAATGTTTTGTTAAATAATGCATTGCCCTAGAATAGTACTTTGAAGTTTATAAAGTCTTATTTGATTTACAGAATAACTTTGTGATGTAAGTTTAATTATCCCTGTTTTCCGTGAGAGAAAACTAAAGCTTGGTGAGATTAAGTAACTTTAAAAAAAGTTAAGTAACTTGCACAATACAACTTATTAATGCATTCCAGTATTCATAAACTTGATCATGCATATATAAGATCAAGAATCCTTAAAAGAGGCTGGGTGCAGTAGCTCACACCTGTAATCCCGGCACTTTGAGAGGCCGAGGTGGGTGGATCATCTGAGATCAGGAGTTCAAGACTAGCCTGGCCAACATGGTGAAACCCCACCCATCTCTACTAAAAATACAAAAAATTAGCCTGGCGTGGTGGTGGGCACCTGTAATCCCAGCTACTCAGGAGGCTGAGGCAGGAGAATCACTTGAACCCAGGAGGTGGAGGTTGCAGTGAGCCAAGATCGTGCCATTGCACTCCAGTCTGGGCAACAAGAGGGAAACTCTGTCTCAAAAAATAAAAAAGAAAATTAAAAAATAACTCTTTAAGAGGGACACACTTGTATTGTTCACCCTACTGATGGTAGGCACTGTTTGTTGCTTTGGGCAGATTTGTTGACAACAGTGATCGCCAAAGGGGAAATGTGTATGACTTTTTTTTTAGTCCATATTTCTGCGGCATTAACTTTGGTTTATACAGACCATCTATATAATGCTTGTTTTTCTACCTGATTACATAAAGTGCATTCCATATATGAACATATCAAGGTAAAAATTATATATCTCCCTCACAGGATTGTTTCACATCAGGCAAAAAAATGTCTCCCCTTTTATGGCTTTTTTTTTTTTCACACAGGAATAATTGTTTGCTCCACTCTTTATTAGGATCTAAAAGCTAATATCATACAATGATGGTATATCTATGTACTTTGGTTTCAAATACGTTCCCCTATCACCTCCCACCATGGGGAGCAATTTATTCATTTTACTATTTAAATTTTCATTTATACTACTTTTTATTTTCTTCAGGTTTTGTGATGAAGGAACCTGTACAGATAAAGCCAATATTCTGTATGCCTGGGCAAGAAATGCTCCCCCTACCCGGCTCCCCAAAGGTATGTCAGAGGCCTCTTGGATGGTCGTATGTTCAGCTGCCTAATTTCTGTTTCCAAAGTCCTTTTTATTATAGTCCTTTCTAACCAGTGATGACAATGTTCTATATTGCTGCTTCACAGTAAAAGTGCTTGCACTACCTGCTTTGTATTGAAAATGTTTCATTTAGGTAGTTACTCTTTCTCTGCCTCTCTTTGGTAAGTAGTTTGCCCACACAACAGTTTAGATAAAATTAGAAAATAACCAAGGATAGATACCTCAAGCCACCTTTGACCTAAGGCACATTGGTTCTTGACAGCAGACACATTTCATGAGCCAAGAGAGCTAGGAATTAAATAAATTGCTGTTTCAGCAGAGATTTTTTTACAATCTTGGAACCTAGGTATTTAACATGATGCCAGACCTCAGCTGGCTTTCTGACTGCACCTCTGAATTGTACATAGCTTCCAATGTGTGAATGTATTACCAGACTCTGTTTTATTACCTGAATATTTCTTAATATTAAAGGGTGTGTGTGGTTCTGTTACAGAATAGGTCTGTCCTGGTTCATGGATGATCTTGTGATATACGTGCATCTCTCTTTCCTCCCTTACTCATTGCCAGCATCATTAAATGATGTCTGATTTCTTGCACTTCAAATGAGCCTCAGAATTCTCTCCATATGAGGCAGCTGCAACCAAACAAGTTTGAAACTAACAGGGAGGTCTGTCATAGATTTGTTGACAGATTTGGATACATTACTAGAGGAGATCTGTAAAAAAGAGATTTGTTTAAAAAAAAAAAAAAAAAAGTATACTTCTGCCGGTAAATATTTTCTCTGTGAATTTTTTAAAGCTCACTAGCAAGCTTTATTAACAGTAAGACTATTGGCGGGGCACGGTGGCTCAAGCCTGTAATCCCAGCACTTTGGGAGGCCGAGACGGGCGGATCACAAGGTCAGGAGATCGAGACCATCCTGGCTAACACGGTGAAACCCCGTCTCTACTAAAAAATACAAAAAAACTAGCCGCGCATGGTGGTGGGCACCTGTAGTCCCAGCTACTCGGGAGGCTGAGGCAGGAGAATGGCATAAACCCGGGAGGCGGAGCTTGCAGTGAGCCGAGATCCGACCACTGCACTCCAGCCTGGGTGACAGAGCGAGACTCCGTCTCAAAAAAAAAAGAAAAAAAAAAAAAAACCAGTAAGACTATTAACAATATTCGAATTCCAAAAATTCACTGACATAATGGACTTTAGTAATCTAGTTGGCAACTAGTTTCCTCAAAGCCATTTTTGTAGATACCTCTTTTCACAGCGGAAGACAAGTAATGCCACTTAAATGCTCCTAAGAAGTCTATTTCCTATATTCAATCATAAAATAAATATGAATATATACAAAGCAAAATGGGAGAATGGGTTTATGTATGTCTTTTAAATAATCAATAGAGACAGGATTTTGTTTTGTTTGTTGTGTTTCTTTCAAAATGAGTGAACTGTCCTCTTAAAGTGTGATTGCTCTGGGTCTGAAGTGGGAACTATGAATAGAATTTCATCATAGTTTTGAGGAGATTATAATGACAGATTATATTAGAAATTCTCAGTCAATGTCTGGTTTATTTCAGTTTTCATGTAATATAATTTTATATGTTATATGTTATTTTATTTCCCTCTGGATTTCATAGATCAGCAATTTGAGATTAACTCCATTTTAGATGCTCATTTCTAATATATTAACTGTTTTGTAAATCTTTAGGTGTTGGATTCAGAGTTGGAGGAGAGACTGGAAGTAAATACTTTGTACTACAGGTACACTATGGGGATATTAGTGCTTTTAGAGGTAAGTTTTGAAATGTTGGAACTAAGCAAAACTTCCAGTACTATATTGTTTAAAATACATGCACAAACTATTATCTACATCTTAAAAAGAATTGCCCACACCCTCTGCCCACTAAGGAACGACAGCTTTTGTTTCCTTTAATTTGGAACTGTTGAAGGAATGAATTTTATTTTAGAAGTCATTTCTGTTAGGCACCTGTGCATGCTACTGTGTTTTCTTTTATGCTGACTTTATAGAACTCTCTTGCCTTCTAGTGTATCGTTTTATCAGCCTGCTCCTGCTCTTATTAGGAGTGCTGATCATTCCAAGCAACACTGTTGGAAAGCATAGGAAGGTACTGGTTGTTTATATTTATGTTGCTCTGAGCAAGCCACTGAAAGCCTATAGGTTCTGCAATACCAAAGAGGTTCTCAAACACTCAGGCTCGTATCGATTCCTTATCTATCCATACCTGGCACTTCATGAATTCACCCATTGTCCACTGCTGTAAGGCGCAGACCACAGCCACCCTTTAGGTAATGCCGAATACTCCCCTAGACACATGTTACTCTACCTGTGATCTCTATGTACTTTATTTAAATGCCCCTTTCCTTATTATAGATCGTTGGTATGAGGAAGGGGCCTTGTTCCCAAGGCAACCAAGGTCAATGCTTGTTAATCCTGCTGCTGCATTTAGTCAAACTCCAACTGCATTCGGGTTCACATGGGACTGTAAATATTAAGTAGATTTCTCCTTGTCTTTATTGCTTTTCTACTATATCTTGCTGACTTATATATATTCTCCTGAATTCTCTAATTTAACATTATGTTTCTAACTAACCTGATACATTTCCCTTTCCAAATACATTAGATATCTCTCCAGCAACTAAATTTGGAAGTAGATGACCATCTCTGCCTATGAAATACCTTTTAGGACCTTTGCTAAGAAAGCCCCACGGGGTAGAAAGGGCCATAGATGGTCTGCATTCAGAACGAGGACAGTAAATGCAGTCTCCCTGTGGAAAAGGGTGTTGAAAGAATGATTTTGTGTCATTGAAAACATTCTACAATCAAATATATTATAAGTTAATATATTTATTAATATATTAATAAATATGTATATATAAATTAATATATATATTAATGGGCCGGCCTATGAACCTAAGTTAGAAATAAAACCTATTTTTAGATTAAAAATTTGCTTTGAATTATACACAAATAACTTTTCATTTTTTGGAATAGAACATAAACTGTTAACTCTCTGTAATACTGAGAGAAGGTTTTGCTGAAAACAAACAAATAAATAAAGTTTGTGTTTGGGGAACAAAGACAGAGATTATCTGCTCTAAAAATTGACCATGCTGATTTCAGTAGAACAGGTGACTAAGACTGCTGACTTCCAAAGTATTGACAAGGCTTTAATTTCCTCAAAAAAGGCTAGCAGGCCTTCCCAGATCACTGCAACTAAAGTAGCTCATCATACTGGCACATGTTCTCTCAAACCCTAATCTCTACCCTCTATAAAACCCTGGACTTAACTTTTCAATCTAATTCTCCTCAGTTTTGTAAGGACCCCTAACACATACTGCATTGGTACTCCAGAGAAAGCACATGATATATGCTTGTTTTTAAAAATATTTAATTTCTTATAAGGAGTTAATTTTGTTTTATAATTTATGTTTAATCTAGGGATAGTAAAAGTACTGATATTTTAATATGTAAACATCTAATTATTCTTTGCTGTAAGAGACAGATGAGAAACTTTAACTTTTCAATAGTAATTTTTTATTTTCTCTTAAGAACAGTTTTTCTAAAAGAAAAGATATATGAGGTAAAGAGATTACTAGTGCTATAATTCATGTAACTTATTGTAATATTATAAAAATGTAAGCAAAAATTTCACTCATGTAATTCATCCAGTAGATACTATCAGGTCCCTAAAGCTTTATTTAGAGTAGTAAATAGATATATGGGAAAATATCAAATTTCACTAAAACAATGAGATATCATTTTACATTTATTAATTGGGAAGGGATGTATATTAAATTGTCCAGTGTTTGGATGAATCTGATGCAGTTTAGGAGGCTTTATAAATTTAGTATGATGTTTTGGAAAGCATTTTTACCATTTCATGTAGGTTTAGTTTATAGTATTAAAATCTTGTTCTAGGCTTTTGTCCTAAAGAAAGATTTTTTTTCCTTAAAAATGCACCTCTATCTACCCAGTTATTCATGCACATGAAAAACTGGAAAGTTCACAAACGGCCCTCACTAGGACATTGGTTACATAAATGATATAACAACAAAAATAGCCAACAATAAGATCAAATACAGACTATATAAAATTGATGTATGCTTACCAGGATTGTAAGGCCCAAGGAAAAAAGGAAATGGTTGATGAATAAGAAAGGCAGGATTGGGTGATTTTTTTTCCTTTAAAATGTTATAACATTGTCTTTTTAATTACATGTTTAAATTCCACAAATAGAAGCATTTCGTTAACTCCTTCAATACCTTCCAGTTAGTGTACTGCACTCCCACTCACACCTCATGCCAAAAAGAGTTAGTATGAATATCTATATGCCTCATTTACTATAGGAATGTCTTCTGCTTTTAGCAGCTTCTGTATTGTGATCTCATACTTATCTCCAGATGCACCTAGAAGTGGAAAATAATTATATCATTATATCTTCTAATTATCAAAAATGCATTAAATGTATATGTTAAGTACATATATATACAAACACACCATTATACACACATATATATAATCACAGCACTGCTTCTGGTGCGAATGTCAGGGAAGATTTGTATTTCGTGGTTTTAAAACTATTGGTGATATCTTAACGTATATAAATTGTAAATCTGAAGCAGAGTAACACTACTAGGAAATTATTATAGTCTACTGAAAAGTGGGGAAATGTTTGGCTTAAGGGTATGAATATTTTTCCACACAGGGAATGTTTTAGAGAATTGAGAAACTTAGGACCTTTCTTTAATAAAGCACCAGAAATGAAGGCAAAATATCTTCCAAAAGTTGTGGGAATGTGGTAGCGTATCAGAGAGAGCAGAACCTGAAGCCATACCTGGGCATGTTTTAGATCAAGCTTGTCCAAGCTGCAAGCCACAGGACAGCTTTGAATGCAGCCCAACACAAATTCATAAACTTTCTTAAAATATTGTGAGATTTTGGGGGTTTTTTGTTTTTGTTTTTGTTTTTTTTTTTGTTTTTGTTTTTTTTAGCTCATCAGCTATTGTTAGTGTTGGTGTATTTTATGTGTGACCCAAGACAATTCTTCTTCCAGTGTGGCCCAAGAAAGCCAAAAGATTAGAGCATCCCTGTTTTAGACTGTGGTCTTCCTTCGTATGAAAAGATTGGCTGTGATTTTAGAGTGAGTCTATGGGATTACATAAAATGTTTGCTTTACTGTTTTTGTTTGTTTGGCATTTTAGAAATTACATAGAATGTGAAGCTGTAAAATAATCCTTTAAAAGCAATCAACTATATTAAATGCCATATCAATCATAGTGTCAAGCCTATACTAGTGCTGGGTATACTAATCTTCCTGCCTGTAGGAGTTTAATGTATTTTAGTAGGTGAGACAAGCACAAAAGGAGTGTGTTCATAGGCAATTGTAATAATGCATACTGGATCTGAAGTCTGCAGAGAGACAGGAGCATACAAGTCTACCTGAAAGTGGAGAGGTATGAAGGTTGGACCCAGAGCAGGGTATGGAAGGGTGATCAGGAGCTCCCAGGTCAGAGTAGGAGGGAAGACAGGTTCCAGACAAAGGTAAAAGCAGATGCAGAGACACGGGAGTGAAACAGCATCTTAGACACAAAGAACTTTGGGTCATCTGACATTACTGTAATGTGAAATGCATAGGGAAAAGTGGCAAGAAATTAGAAGAGAGGTGAAAGGTGGGGAGCAAGCCATAAAGATCCTTGCTAGGACTTGATTCCTAAAGCACTCAGAATGCTCTTCAGTCAAGCAGTAACCTGATTGGATTTTCATTTCCTAATGCCGCTCAGTCTTGGGCTTGAGTGTATGGAAAAGCTACTAGCCTTATGAAGAAAGTATGGGGCTGTAGGTGGCCAGAGTGAGCTAGGATTGCAGCTTAGGAAGGCCAGAATGATTTTTTAATGTATAGACTTTTAAATTTTCTAAAACTTAATATTCCATAGGAAATAGAATGTATTCTAATTGGAAATGAATGTCCCATGTAGGTGATAGTATGGTACCAAGTTTGATGACCAAACTTTAAGTCCAGGCAGACTGGTAATGGCACATCCTAGTTTGATTACCCTCACTGAGCTTCTAAACCTCTCTTTGCTCTCCTTATCTGTAAAATGGTATCATAGTGGTATCATAAATGTACCATACCATTATATAAATAAAGGTACTTGGTTAAGTAGTCAATAAATGTTAGCTATTATCATTATAGTCCTCATGAAAGGATAAATTTCCCTAAATACAATCTTTTTTCTCATTACCCATAATATGAAAAGGATGTGGTTACTTTTCAAAGATATTGTAGTTTCTCATTATTTTTAGACACAGAACTGTTTGAGTGTGTCACGTTGCCAGTAGAAGTTTCCTAGTTAAGCTGTGTTTCGTGTTCTCCACAGCAGTTTTTGTTATTCATAGTTCAGCTATACAAAGATAAACTGTAAGACCAACTTCCTGCCCTTAAGGAAGTCAGAATAGTGAGAATTGGGGATTCCTCCAGGTTTCACTCTCCCCATTTTTTTTTGACCAGTTTTTTCAGCAAAGTCTTTTTCCGAAGCGAAAATTATCCTGAGATTGTCGCTGAATGCTGCCGCATTTCTTCTAGATGTTTTGGCCAAGGAGAATCTTAAGAAAACTCTCCTCTCATTTTCAGAATTTCTGGCATTAGCTTACTAGTCTCCACCAATAACTCATTTCTCAAATTGAAGATCCTGTGCACTCACCTATTGAAGTTGGAACTGATATTCTTAGAATGAAGGTCAGAGTCTCTTCCCAAATGTACAGCCCTGATT